CTAAAGGCCCACAGACGAGGTTCGTACAGCGCCCTCCCGCCCATGTCGGCACTCCGGTCACGCGAGTCATGCCTTAAGTCGGGCCTGTCCCCCTACAGGGGGATTTTCGACGAAGAATAAAGAATACCCCAAAAACAATTTAAAAATAATCCAAAAATAGTCGGGGACTATTTTTTCGTATTTTTGACCTTTTTGGTGCATTTGGGGGTATTTTTCATTCTTCGTCGAAAATCCCCCTGTAGGGGGACACGCCCGACATAAGTCGTGCCCCAGAAAGAGCGCCACCTATGCCACCAGTGGGCAGCTTCGCATGGCGCCCCCCGCCCAGATCGGAATGTGCATCGCACGCGTCGTGCCCGGAGGAGGTCCGCCTGCGGCCTCCGTGGGCGTGCTCGCGCGGAGGGCCTCCGAAGTGTGCGGCACAGCCGTCGCGCGGATCGTGCCCCACAAGGAGTTCGGCGCACCCGTGCACGCGTGCTCCGCAGCAGCCACCTGTCCGCCTCGCCCCGCGGTGCGCAGTGCATGAAGAGAGAAAGACCCTCGGCCTGCGCTGGACATGACTGCACAAGAATGGGTCCGCCGCCCAACAAAATGCTGGCTGTATCGCTGGACGAAACAATTTGGGCCTCCTGAGGCCCTCTCGGGGCGCATCTTGGAGGCCTCTGGGGACGCCTTCGGGGCCCCCTGAAGCGTCCTTCTCGGGCGTCTTCGGCCTTGCAAGGTCACTCTGGTCGCTTTTTGGCAGCCTCGGGAACTGTTTGAGCGGCGGGGTGGAGGCCCAAGAGGCTGCGGAAGGGGTCAACAGTGTCGTGGACCAAAAGGGGGGGGAAATCCAGGAGGGTGTCCAGGACCAGGCTTCGGTCCTCTCCTCCTCCTCCTCCTCCTCCTCCTCCTCTTCCTCCTCACTCCTCCTCGCCCTCCTCCTCCTCCTCCTCCTTTCCTCCTCCTCCTCCTCATCTCGTCTCCTCCTTCCCATCTTCCTCCGCCTGTTCCGCCTCCTCTCGCCTCCCTCCATCCCGCTCCCCCCTCAAGCCCGACCTCCCTCCCGCCTCCCTCTCCTCCTCGCCTCCTCCTCTCCTCCTCCTCTCTCCCCCCTTCTCCTCCTCCACCTCATCCTCCTCCTCCTCTTTCCTCCTCCTCCTCCTTACTCGTCCTCCTCGTCCTCCTCGTCCTCCCGTCCCGCCTCCCCTCCTCCTCTCCTCTCCTCCCTCCCCTCCCTCCTCCCTCCTCCCTCCCTTCCTTCCTTCCTTCTAGATATGACATGTTGGGACCTCCGAGGGCATTCGGGGGGCATCGCAGGGGGGAGCGGCAGTTGCAAGCAACACCGAGTCCATTCGGAGCAGGGCCACGGGCCCGACCCTGGTTCTGCTGTGAACAGGTATCCAGGCAATGCGACGCTGGAATGGGCTGTCCGGTGGGATGGCGCGGACCCCTCCTCCCATTCGGTCCCCTCGTCGAACTGGTGGCGACAAGCATATTCCCGGAAGGTTCTCTGGGAGCATGATGGTGTGGGTCGTGTTGGGGTCCTCGTGGAGGCTTCCAGGGTACCTCACATGAGGCTACAAAGCCCGAAAACAGCCAGATGAAACCATGTCGGAAATCTTGAGATGTTGGTGAAATTGGAAGTGAAATGGGGGAGGTGCAAGGAAACAAAACAAACAATTGTAGGCGCTGAGAAGGCCACGGCAAGGAATGTGAGAAGGAGCGCAAAGGGGGTGTGCGTAAGACTGGGATGGCCTTCGACCCGTCTCGCCACCGTGCCTGGATTGTGGCTCAAAAGCCATGATTAGGCGGGGGCATCTTGGGAGCCGTTGTTTGGCATCTTGGGGGCCGTTTCGGAGCCTTCTGGGGCGTCGTGAGGGCCTCGTGCGGTCCTCCTGGAGCCTCGTGGCAGCCTCTGGGGGTGTTCTTGGGGCCTCCTGGGAGCCTCTTGGCGCGGAAAACTCGAAACTTCGGTTCATGCTCCCACTCTGGATGCCATCTTGGGGCAGTTTTAGGGCCTCCAAGGCCGTGTTGGGCGCCCTTGGGGCCGTCAGGGAGTCCTGTTAGGCTGTCCGGAAGCCGTCCTGGGGGGCCTCTTGGCCCATTCTGAGGCAGTGTTGGAGGCCTCCTGGGCCGTCGTGGATTGTTGGAAACTCGAAAAGCAGAGGACACAAAAAACACTGAAAAACCCTAGGGATATCAGAGATGTGTGCCGTTCGGGGCACTCGTCTGGGGCCTCGGGCGCCCACTGAAGCCTGCCCGTGGCCGTCCTGGCGCCTTCCTGGGGCCTCCTGGGAGTCTCTTGGGGCGAACAACTCGTAACTTCGGTTCATGTTCCCCCTCTTGAGCCCATCTTGGGGTCGTCTTTGGGCCTCTTGGGCCGTCTTGGGCGCCCGAGAGCTTTCATGGAACCCTGTTAGGCAGTCCCGGGGCCCTCCCAGGGGCCTCTTAGCCCGTCCTGAGGCGGTGTTGGAGGCCTCTTGGGCCGTCGTGTATTGTCGGAAACTAAAAAATAGAG